GTCAGCTCTGAGATCTCATATATGCACAAACCACACCCAGAGACCCAGACCACTTCCTGTTGGCTGCAGGTCAAGATATAGAACACTCAGCTCCTTCTCCAGCACCACATCTGCCTGCAGGCCACCTTGATACAGCATGATGATAATGGAATAAGCCTCTGAAAATATAAGCCATCCCATTAAATGTTTTCCTTTATAAGAGTTGCCATGATCATGGGGCCTCTTCACAGCAATAGAAACCGTAACTAAGACAGAAGTTGGTACCAGGGACTGGGGTATTGCTGTGATAGGCCAGACCATGTTTTGAACTGGAGTAATATGGACTTTGGAAGTTTGAGTTAGGAAAGCAGTGGAATGCTTTAAGCACTGATTAATGGGTATACTAGTAGGAATATGGAGACAGTAGTGCTAAGATTTATTTGAACTGTGAGGGCCTAGCTCAAGAGGTTTGAGAGGAGAAGAATATTAATATGTGGACTAGAGATCATCCTTGTGATATTTTGGTGAAGAACGTGGTTCCTTTTTGCCCTTGTCCGAAAAGGCTGAGGCTAAAGTGAATAGATTTGTATTAAATCTGCTGGCAGAGGAAATCTCAAAACAAGTCTAGAATTGACTCTGTTGTGTAGTTATTACTGGTCTCTCTTATGCAGATTCATAATAAAAAGAGGGCTAAGAAAGGAAAAATACAAAATGTACAATTTGAGGAGAAAAGGAACACCAGGAAGTGAAATGGAGCTAACTCCTGTGTTCAAAGAGATACACAGATTAAGAAATAGAATAAAGAGAGTAGTAACATAAGGGTAAGATCCCACCAAGCTAAGTTTAAAAACTTAGAACCAGGAGTGGTGGTGCATGCCTTTAATACCAGTACTCCAGAAGCAGAGGCTGTCTTACAAAAGCAATTTACAGAATCAATGCAATCCCCATAAAAATTCCAACACAATTCTTGCCAGGCAGTAGTGATACATGCCTTTAATCACAGCACTTTGGAGGCAGAGGCAGGTGGATTTCTGTGAGTTCAAGACCAGCCTGGTCTATAAGAACTAGTTCCAGGAAAGGTTCCAAAGCTACACAGAGAAACCCTATCTCAAAATAAAATCCAACACAAATCTTTAAAGACCTTGGAAGGACAATAGTCAGCTTTATATGGAAAAACAAAAATGCAGGATAGCTAAAACAGTGATGTACAATAAAAGAACTTCCAAAGATATCACCATCCCTGATTTCAAACTATACTACAGAGCCAGAGCCATAGTAATAAAAAAACACATGGTATTGTCATAAAAACAGACAGGTTGATAAATGGAATTGTATCAAAGACCCATACATAAATCCACACACCTATTGATACCTGATTTTTTATAAAGAAGCCAGAAATATACCATTAAAAAAATATCTTCAACAAATGATGCTGGTCTAACTGGGTGTCAGTATGTAGAAGAATGCAAATAGATCCATATCTATCACCCTCTATAAAGCTCAAGTCCAAGTGGATCAAATACCTCAACATAAAACCAGTTACACTGAACCTAATAGAAGAGAAAGTGGGAGATAACCTTGTACTCATTGGCGCAGGAGACAATTTCCTGAACAGAATGTCAATAGTGAAGGCACTAAGATCAACAATTAATAAATAGAACTTCATGAAACTTAAAAGCTTCTGTAAGGCAAAGGACAGTGGTCAATGGGACAAAATGACAACCTAGAGATAATGGGAAAAGATTTTCACCAACTCCACATCTAACAGAGGTCTAATATTCAAAACACATAAATAATTCAAGAAAAACTTGAGTGATGGGGGAATGTCCTTCTGTATATATCATTGGTTGATGAATAAAACACTGATCAGCCAGTATCTAGGCAGAAAGGATAGGCGGGGCTAGGAGATGAGGAGAATACTGGGTAGCGGCAGAAAGGAGCCACCAGACAGAGATGCCATGTAGCTGAGGAAGGAGTAACGGGTCCTGATCCTTCTCTAAGAAAAGACCATGTGGAAATACTTAGATTAATAGAAATGGGTTAATGATTAAGAGAGAGCTAGCCATTAAGAAGCCTGAGTCATCGACCAAACAGTTTCTAATTTATAGAAGCCTCTTTGTGTTCATTTGGAGCTAACTGGCTGAGAAACCAAATGGAAAGAAACTTTAGCTATGTTTGAGAAATCAAGAAACTTGATATAAGCAAACTAAATAATCCAATTAAAGCGGGTAAAGATCTAAACAGAGAAATTGCAACAGAACAATCTCAAATAGCTGAAAAACACATTAAGAAATGTTGAACATCCTTAGCTATCAGAGAAATGCAAACCTAGATGACCCTGAGATTCCATCTTACAGAATCAGAATGGCTAAGATCAAAACCACAAGTGACAGCTCATGCTGGCCAGGATGTGGAGCAAGAAGAACACGCTTCCATTGCTGGTGGGAGTGTAAATTTGTACAGCCACTTTGGAAATCAATTATGGTGGCTTCTCAGACTATTGGGAATCCAGCTATCTCAAGACCTAGCTCTAATACTCCTGGGCATGTACCCAAAGGATGTTCCATCCCACCTCAAGGACACTTGCTCAACTGTGTTCATAGCACCTTTTTTCATAATAGCAGCAAATAGGAACAATCTAGATGCCTCTCAACCAAAGAATGAATAAACAAAATGTGGTACATTTATACAATGGAGTATTAGATAGCTGCTAAAAAAAATGAGATTTTCAGGCAAATGGATAGAACTAGAAAAAAAATCATTCTGAATGAGGTAACCCAGACCAAGAAAGACAAACATGGTATATACTCACTTGTAGGTGGATATTAGCTGAAAAGTAAAAGATAATCATGCTACAATCCATAGACCCAGAGAGGCTTAATAACAAGAAGGGCTCAAAGGGGCACACGGATCACTCTGAGAAGAGGGAATAGAACAGAATTTGTATAGCCAGATGTGGGGGCCCACACGTGTAATCCCAGCATTTGGGTGGATTTCTGTGAGTTTGAGGCCAGCCTGGTCTATAAAGAGAGTTCCAAGACAGCTGGGAGTATTACACAGAGAAACCCTATCTCAGGAAAACAAAAAGAATTGATCTCAAAGGTGAGGCCAGGAGGGATCGGGTTGGAGAGTGGAGGGAGAATACTAGGAGAGATGCCCGGAACTGGGCCATTTCAGGTGAGGTAGAAACCTAGAGAAGTGGAAGCTGCCTGGAATCTATAATGGTGACTGTGGTGGTTTGAAAGAAAATGGCCCCCAAAGGGAGTAGCACTATTAGGTGTGACTTCGTTGGAGGAAGTGTGCCACTGTGGGGGGAGGATTGAAGTTTCTTCATTCATAGTGACAGTCAGTCCACTTCCTGTTGACTGCAAGATGTGTCACTCTCATCTACTTCTCCAGCACCATGCCCACCTGCACTCTGCCATGCTCTGCACCATGATGATAACGGACTGAACCTCGAAAAATGTAAGCAGCTACCCAGTTAAATCTTTTCCTTTATAAGAGTCGCCATGGTCATTTTCTGTGGGATATTCAGTCACACTGTGAACCCTGAGTTTGTGTTAATTAAATAAAACCAACCTTGGGTCAGGAGACTGAATTAGAAAGTAATCATAGGGAGTCAGAGGGAGTCTGAAGGATGATAGAGAGATGCACAGGAAGTACTAGGGAGGGACTTAGTGTAGAGTGGGTTCCTTGTTGTGGCGGAGCAGAAGGACTCACTCTTCTGGAGATGCTGGCAAAGAGAGAAGACCTGCTAGTTGCTACTCAACCTCTCTGAGCTATCAGGTTTTCACCCCAGTCTTTGACTCCCAGGTCTTATTAATAAATGGAATGATAGAGATTTAGTTAAAAGCTATATTTGGCAGCAATATAGCCAAGGCCTGTGGAAACAGAATTCCTGCCAGGCAGTGGTCTAAGCAAACTGAGCCACTGGCAGAGAAGCAGGCCAGTAACTGCAGAACTGCACTTGTTGGCTAAAACAGCAGTAGATTGCAGTTCAGCCTCTGTGCTGACTGAAAAGCAATGGGCCTGGTGTCTCTTCACAGCAATTGAAACCCTAAGACAGTGGCCCTAGTGAAAACACCTAATAATGGGGAATAAGGATCCTGAACTCACCATTTTCTGTAAACTTTGACCTACAATCTGTCCTACTTATAATATGTGCCAACCAATGACTGGTCCAACTTGTAACCCATGCCATGAGAGGGAACCCAAACCTGGAGGGTGAAGAACCAGAGGCTGGATAGCCCAGAGACCTAGGATAGACCCAAACATGAATGGGGGAGGTGTCAGTGAAATTATTCCTAATGATACACTGCTATACTTGTAGACTGGAACCTAGTATAATAATCATCAGAGAGTTTTCATCCAGCAAATGATGGGAGCAGATACAGAAACCCACAGCTAAACATAAGGTGAAGCTTGGGGTATCCTGTGCTAGATGAGGAGGAAGGATTGTAGGAGCCAGAGGACACCACAAGAACACAGACCACAGAGTCAACTAAGCAAGACTCATAGGGGCTCACAGAGACTGAACTAACAATCAGAGGTCCTGTAGGGTCTGACCTAGATCCTCTGCATGTGTGTCATGGCTGTGTAGCTCGGTCTTATTATGGGGCTACTAACAGTGGAAGTTGTCTCTGACTCTTTTGCCTACTCTTAGGACACTTTTCCTCCTACTGGGTTGCCTTGTCCAGACTTTATATGAGGGGATGTGCCCACTCTCATTGTAACTTATTATGCCAAGTTTGGTTGATAGCCATGGGAAGCCAGCCCTTTTCTGAAGGGAAATGGAGGAGGGCTGGATCTGGGGGAGAGGTGGGTAAGGGAGGAACTGGGAGGAGAGGAGGGAGGAGAGGCTGCTGTCAGAATATAAAATATGAGAGAATAAAATTTTAAAAGGAGTATTGCTATATCAGGGTCCACAGTCCTAATATCTGAAGAACAACCAACCAGGGCAGCAGAAACTCTTTTGAAATCTGCCATCCCTGAACAAAAAGGATTCACAAAGACACCAAGCCTGCAATCAACATGATTTATTTCCTTTCCCGTGCCATTGGCATTCTAATACCTAGGTAAGATTTCCCCCATACATGTGAGTCCACAGACTGGAGAAGTCTGGGTCCCACGGCACAAAGTTCTCAACGGTAGAACAGAAGCACAGCTGCTTCAGTTATCTCCCGGCTACTGCTGTATGCAATGTGCGTTCCATATCCACTCCAATCAAATGCCGAGAAGTCTCCACACTGCCGAGGGTTTCCTTCTGGGAAGAATCCTCCGCCACCAATGCAGTGCTGGAAAAGAAGGAGGAGGAAGTAGCAATCAGAGGTCAGATGTGATATGGTTTGGACATGTAACGCCCTCCCCAAAGGTGATATGCACTGAAGCCCTGGTCCCCAGAGTAACATTCAGAGGCAGGACTTTGGGGGAAGGGTTTGAATATGAGGACCCTGCCCTCATCAGTCAATTAATCACTAGTGGAGTCACCATTTTGAACTGTCTATTGGGAGGTGGTGAAGCTGGGGATTGGGGGGGGTCTGGTTAGAGGAAAAGATCACTGGGAGAGGAAGTGTGGGGTGTGCTGGGGGGTCCGTGCACCTGCATGAAACAAATGTGCCTATGTGAAAGCAGGGGTTAGAGGGTGACCTCAGATATTAGTCCTTGCCTTCCCACCTAGTTTGAGGCAGGTTCTCTTCACCACTGTGTTAGTCATGTTAGCTGACCTGAGAGCTTTGGGTGGGTCCCCTGCCTCTGTCTCCCATCCCTCTCTGGGGGACACTGGAATTACAGACACCTCCACTACTGTGTGCCGCTTTTTTATGTGTTCTAGAGATATGAACTCAGGTCACCAGGCTTGCACCCCAAGTACTTTTACCATCTTCTATGCCACCTGCGCACTACGCCACCTGCTCATTTTGAAGGTGACTTGCTCTGGCCCTTCATGTTGTCTAGTAAGCCACACTACTCTGATATATCCTTCCTGTAGACTGTTTCTGTCTCACCATGGATCTATCAACAATGGAGCCAACCGACCACAGGCTAAAATCTCTGAAAGCACAAAACTAAATAAGACTTTCCCCTTAGCCTGTTTCTCTTCAGTATTAAGCACAAAGGCAAAAGGCTGACTAATACAGCAGATGAGTCCAGAGACACCTTAATAGCCGTGTTCAGTGGACTCTGTTCCAAGTCAGACTCTCCGTTGGCAGCATCACTCTATTTAATCCATAAAACCCCGTCATTGACTTTAGTGGCATCACTGTCTCTCCCTACCTTTCCTCCAACTTCTCTGAACCGTTGTACTCAGGTTCCCTGGCTAGACATTTCCTTCATGAATTCCTTAAGCGTTACTTACCAAAGGGGACACATTTTCTTCCAGTCCCTTGTAGCTTGTATCACTCCTGTGTCCTTAGGTAACCAACTATTTGCTGATGGCTCAAACTGTCTATCTCCAGCCCAGATGTTTCTTTAGCTAAAGATCTTAAATTCATCTGCCTCTCAAATCACTATTCGGGCATTTCAAGCTCCACATGAAAAAACAGGGTTCATTACAGACATTTAACAAAGGGGATTTATTGTGATAAATTCATTGGCTGTTCTGCCCATGGTGTGAACATCACAGGGTGTCCTCAAACAATCTAGAATCACCATAGTGTTTCTAGGCAGTACTGCCGCATGAAACCACTGTCATAGAGGCAACCATCACTGACCAAAGCGTGAGTACAAATCCTTTCTTGACTCCAAATCTGGTCTTCATTCGCACATTGTGGCCTAACAAATGCAATTCATTGGCTTTGAACTTGCGGTTTCGATGTCTTAACCTCCCAAGTAGCAGAATATGTTCTGTCACACCAGAGATTGAAAGGGCACTAAACTACAGTTAAACAGGAACAAGAAATACTTGGTGCTATTGTGGAGAAAGATGATTATAGGCAATGACAGTATGTTGCAGAATTTAAAAGCTGGAGAACGACGGGCGTTGGTGGCCTTTAATCCCAGCATTCGGGAGGCAGAGGCAGGCGGATCTCTGGGAGTTCGAGGCCAGCCTGGTCTACAGAGTGAGTTCCAGGATAGCTTCCAAAACAATACAGAGAAACCTTGTCTCAAAAAATCAAAACAAAAAAAAAAACAAACAAAAGCTGGAGAAAAGCAATTAGAATGTCTCCACCATAAGGAAACATGTTTCAGAAGACAAACAGACTTAACCTGATTTAAACATTGCATATTCTATACATGTTTTGAACTATCACAATATGTCCTATTAATATATAATTTTATGTTATCAGCTAGATAAACATAGTTTTAATAAGATTTTTAAAATGGTATTCATGTAATTTTAATAAGACTTTTAAAATGGTATTCACTCATCCAAGTAAGAACCATAAGGTTATCCTAGACACATCTTCTCATTCTATATATTCATCTAGTCTTAAATTTTAAATCATCAGTGTTTATTGGCCCCATACATGAGTAGTGCCCTAATCCATGCTTTCATTTGGATCATGGAAACCACCTTCCTTTGTGTTTTGTCTTTTCCCCCACTCAAATCTGACACTTTACTATCAGTGTCATCTTAACACACAAGGATAACAAAGTCTTCCCCTTTAAAATGTGTTAATGGCTCCCATCATTTACATGAAGTACAAACTCACTAGGGTAATGTAAAAGTTTCTTCCTGATCAACTTCCTGCTAACACTGTTAACTCTTGCCTCTACCCTACATCCATCTGTACACCAAAACTAAAACACAGCTTGCTCTCCCTCAATGCCACATGTGAACTTAAACACTGGTAAACTTGGATACACTCTTCACTCACACTAAATTGGTCTGCACCATAAGCCTCTATCCACCTCCAAGACTCAACTCAAAAACTACCTTCCTTATAAACTGGGTGTGGTGTCACATGCCTGTGATCCTGGCACTGGAAAGCTAAAGGCAACGTCATCCTCCCTACACAGTGAGTTTAGAATCAACCTAAGATATATGAGACCTGCCTCAAAAACAAAAATCTTTTCCTGCAGTCTGTACTCTGCCTTTCCCAGTGCACATTGTAGCCCCTAATTATTTTTTGTTTGTTGGTTTGGTTTGTGTTTTGCTGTTTTATGGCACTAGGAACAAAATCCTGGGGCCTTCTGCATGCTAGGCAAATGTTTTACCACTAAGCCATACCCAAGCTCCTTATTTTATATTTCTACTGTGCTTCAAACATATCACATTTGTGTGAATGTCTAATCTATTAAGTGCTAACAAGGTACACGGCCCTGTTTCGTGTCTCCTGTACCATTACAGTGTAGGTGGTCAAAGCAAACTACGCTAGATAATAAGCAAATAACACACTGGCACCTATGCACAGTACATTTCATATTCTTCAACCCTGACTGAAAGGTGAATAGGAACCAGATTTTCACAAAGAGGCCTTCCCTTTCAGTATCTCTACACTCATCACTCTCCATCACATTCCTTGTCAGCAAATCTTCCTCATCCTACCAGGAGAATGAATGCTGTGATGACCAAGGAAGGACAAAGGAAACAGGGCCACCTGTCAGGAGCTGAGGACACTTTTCTGAGACTGTTGCTTTGAAGAATTCTTGGCAATTCCCACCTCATTCTGCCTTTTGCCACAAAGTATAAAAATAGATAAATAGATAGTCTAATGGTCCCAGGCTTAAGGAATATCAGGTAGCTACAATGGAACTGAGTGTACCTGACCTCACATTCAGTCTACATGCTGATCTCTAACCAAAGGAAGTACCTGTGCTAGGGAAAGAACAGCCTGGGTGAGGTCTACCAGATATCCAAAACTCTTCTAGTAATCCTTCCACAAAATAAACATCTGTACAAACTTTGAAAAGGATACAGTTCACTCTGAAAGCTAAACCCGCTGTAGAGATTGACAATACCTGGTGACTCTCTAACAATCTCAGCCCCCAAAGGTTTCCACAGGACTTCCTGAATATGTGTCACCCTGACTCCAAGTAACTGTTTTATCCTAAAAGCTAAGCAAACAGTAACAGTGCATTAGAAGTTGTAACATTGAGTTCGGTCTTCAATGAGACATGATATTTGTATCTAGACAGAAGTTCTGATTCCTGAGGCCAAGTCAAGTCCAATGAAAGGTCACACTCTCACACACATGCTCATACTACCATGACAGTCTTACATGCTCAACGCAACACTGAAAAACTCAGTCTTACTCACAGGCCCACTTGGTCCCTAACAGCACTCATTCATTTGGAGTTAGAGAAATGGCTCATCAGTTCAGAACACTTGCTGCTTTTGCAGAAGGATCCAAGTTCAGTTCCCAAGCACCCATGTAAGGTATGTCACAACCACATGTACTCCATTTCCAGGAAATCTAACATCCTCTTCTGGCTTCCAAGGGTACCTGTACTCATACTATATGCACATACCAAAAACAAGCACACGGGTATACACATAATTTAAATTTTTTGTTTGTTTTTCGAAACAGAATTTCTCTGTGGCTTTGGAGGCTGTCCTGGAACTAGCACTTGTAGACCAGGCTGGTCTCAAACTCACAGATATCTACCTGCCTCTGCCTTCTGAGTGTGGGGATTAAAGGTGTGTTCCACCACCTTTTTTTTAAAGACTCACAATTTCAGTATTGCATCCAGTGACCTTCATACCAGCACACAAGGCATTGGCTGCTCTCTCATTATTGAACACTCTGAACTGAACAAATCCTGCCGTGAATTCTTCTGAAAAGAAAAAGTAGAAAACAGCATTCAAGGAAGATTCTAGAAATTCTAGTCTTGATGTCAATGTAGAGATTGTCAGTACCAGGCACATCAGAAACACTAAGGGGTATCTGACACCACCATGACCATTGGCTGAACATCCCAGCCACACATGGCACTAACAGGATCCTTTTCCAAATCACAGAGTCCAAGAATGGGTCTTCAAAAAGACCCCAGTCTGCTGAAGGCTTGTATAAAGAAATTTTGTAACCCGGGAAGATCATACTGACAATCTCCAATGGACTACCACATCAGTTAGCAAGTATATTGACTGACTCTGGTCCTATGACTCTTTTCTTGTTTCCTTTAATTTTTAAACTTTTATATACCAACCATAAATAACTTTAAATTACAGAGCACAGGTTCAACCTCTATGAAGGATACAGAGCACAGGTTCAGCCTCTATGAAGGATATGTGCCTGCTTTGGATTTATATTAAATAACACAATAGTCACCCCTCACAACAGAAATAAATCTCCATTTTTTTCTGTTATTCTACTCCTTTTTGTTCTGTTGTTCTGCCCCTTGCATATAGACCTGGACTGTTCCTGAGAAACCACTGGATGATCTTAGGGTTGCTAGGATTTGATTATATAGCCAAGTTTTCCCACTGCAAATGCTGACACTCATGTTGATGCCCCGTGCTCTCAGGCAAGTTCCTGGACCTTCAGTGCTCCAGCCTCTTAAACTGTAAAATGGGTTAGTGATAGTTGAGAGCTCAAGTGTTACCATGTAAATGAAGGGAAACAAAGCACAAACATTCAGAGGAGAGACGCCGGCTGTGGAGGACAGTAAACAACTGTTAACTGAATTCCTAGCATCCTGCAGAAGGGTCAGAGGAGACTTAGAGACTTACTCTGGCCATTGGGGGAGTAATAAGAGGCTGTCTTCTGAGCATCACCGAAGTCATAAACCACAGGTAATGCTGGGCCATTGTCAGTCCAACACTTCCCTGCTCCGTATTTCACTGGGTATCTCTACAAGGAACAAAAGAAGTCACTGGGTAAGTATGGCAGCATTGGCAATCCCAGGACTGCTGAAGCACAGCCTTTGTGCAGTAACTGAGATGGTTGCCAAACAGTCAGATAAGAAAGAATCCTTTGCGTTGTCTGTGTCCTTCTGACACCCTAGACCCCTCCCTCTCTTTCTCCCACTCTCTCTTCTCTTCTCTTCTCTCTTCCCTCCCTACTTCCCTCCTCTCCTATCTTTTCCATATACCCCTATGCTTTGACTATAATGGCTCATTACACTTAGAACTAGGAAAACATGGGATAGAACCCACCCAACCTCAAACGCCTGCCTTTCTCTCCACACCTATGAACAGCAGCCTCAGCCGGCAGTCTCAAGTACCTGGTACAGGCCAAACAGATTATGGCCCATGTGACTCAGGAAGCCAGTGAAGGTGCGGTATCTCAGCAGGGAGCTGTTCCTCCAATTTTGCAGGGGGCTATTGTTGGGCACGTGCCAGATCCCCAGGTTCTCAGCCTGGATGTCAAAGTAGCCAGGGTTCTGGAAAGGAACCAACACTGAGCCTGACCAGACCAGATTTCACTACGAAAAAGACCCACATGCACAGTTCTCTGCACAGCTGATGTCTCTGGGCTCCAGGTGGACAGATGACCAGCCATGCTCAGATGCCCCCATTCCCAGTGATAATGGCCCCACCACCACCTACTTACCTAAAAGCCTACTTGGGAGGATGTTGAGATTCAAGATAAGTATGTTTCCCTTCTTCATCCCTATGTTGAAGGGCAACCTTCCCCCCTCTCCCTGGCATGGCTGAGCTACACTCACATCCTCACTTTCCCAAGTGGCTACAGAGTGTACCAACCTTGTAGTCATCACTTGTGGCGCCCTCTGCAAACCCAAAGGTGTTGTAGTTGGCCCAGTTGCCATCGCCCTCTGGGCTGTCTATTCTGTTTCCTTGCTGACTGGACCAGCGATCGCCCACTGTGCACTTCCCATACATGTTGTTCTCATGCACACTAGCCACCAGGGTCCAGCCACCACCTGCAGTGGTCATGTCACAGAAGGTCTGGTAGATGACACCATTCTCAGTGCGGAGGAAATAGAGGCCGTCTGTAGAGAGAACCAGTTTAGAGTCCTCCTGTGTGCAGCTCATTGTCCATCTCTGCTCCAGCAGCAGAATGGCTCTGGGAACTACAAACGGTACTAATGCCTCATACCCTGAGTATCCTATATCAGGTGTCCCTGGGGATCTGCCTGAATTCAGAAAGCCAAGCATCTGTGACTGGGGCAGAACACAGAATTACCCAAACTGACAGTGATGTTTTTGTTCTAAAGTTAAACACAGTATTATCAAAGGACTTAGCAGCTCCACTAGGTAGATACCCAAAGACCTGGTGACAGGGACTCAGACATGTACATTCATGTTCATTATAGCTCTGGTCACAAGACCTGAATGGCAGAAACAAGCAAAGTCTCTCTACAGAAAGAGGAATAAGCAATATAATGTGCTGTCTACTATGCAAAATATATATTGTGTGCATTCCTATATATCCAATAGATCAAAAAAATGAAGCAGACTGGAGAAATGGCTTCATTTTTAAGAGCAAATACTACTCTAGCAGAGGACCTTAGTTATGTTACCAGCACTAACACTTGGCAGTGTACAAGTGCCTGTCACTCCAGCTTCTGAGGACTAGATGGCCTCTTGTGGACTCTGCATATACCTGCACACATGTGTACATATTCCCACACTCAGACATCTACATGATCATCATCATAATAATAATACCAAATCTTTTTAAAATAAATTTACTGTTATACAATACAGAAGAGATTTGAAGCATGCTAATAAAATAAGGCAGATTACTCATATGATGTAACAAGAATTGACAGATTCATAGAAGTAGGAAACAGGACAGTATCCCACAGGGAATACAGGAATTTATTATTTTCTGGCTACAGAATTTCTATTTAAGGAATAGAAAGTTTCCGGAGATGGATAATACTGATCCCTACCGTTGTCAAAGTCATTCTTGATTCTGAAAACCCTTAAAATTGGTTAAGTGGAAGTTTTTATCTATTATATACATTTTTGGGTTTGTTTTTGTTTTTGTTTTTGAGACAGGGTTTCTCTGTATTGTTTTGGAGGCTGTCCCAGAACTCCCTTAGTAGACCAGGCTGGCCTCAAACTCACAGAGATCCACCTGCCTCTGCCTCCCTAGTGCTGGGATTAAAGGCGTGCACCACCAAAGCCCAGCTTCTACTATATACGTTTTATCACATTTTTTATTTCAAAAAAAGAAACGCTGTTCCATGAGACAAAAAAGCTGATTTCCTAACTGGGTTATTTGTTTGCAGAGTGTCCCCAGGCTGGTTTGGAGCTTTCAGTCCTCTGCTTCCTTTTGAGGAGTTAGGATTACAGAGTTTAGGAGTTAGGGTTACAGTGTTGAGGAGTCAGGATTACAGTGTTGAGGAGTTAGGGTCACAGTGTTGAGGAGTTAGGGTTTACAGTGTTGAGGAGTTAGGGTTACAGTGTTGAGGAGTCAGGGTTACAGTGTTGAGGAGTTAGGATTACAGTGTTGAGGAGTTAGGGTTACAGTGTTGAGGAGTTAGGGTTACAGTGTTGAGGAGTTAGGGTTACAGTGTTGAGGAGTTAGGGTTACAGTTTGTTCTTTAAATGCTTCACCACTTACCTGCTGCCCTGTTCATCTCCTGTTTGATTTCCTTGCAGCTTCTGAACAGAGAGGAAGACACAGGATTGGCCTGTCTATTGGTATCCAGGTTCTTTTGAGCTAGAGAAGATGCAGAGTTTCACTCTCTTGGGACACCCAGCCTCCCCTTGTCATTCATCCTAACTCATCCCATGACTTCCCAAAGCCCAAATCAACAAGATTTCCAACTAGGAAGAGAGACAAGAGATTTGAAGGTAGAGAACTTTGTGTCCAAAGCCCTGAAAAAGAAGACTATCATGAAGTCCAGCTTTACAGGTGGAAAAAATGCAGGGAGCCTCATGTGCCTGAAACATGGATAGTGAGGTTGACAGTGCAAAGGCTTGATCAAGAGACCATGGAATAAAAAGCCTTGCAAACCAGCCTCAACCCTACAAAGTCCTCTGAGAACCTAGAAGGGTAGAAATCAATGAGGACTCAGATGTAAGTAGTTCCATGTCCACAAGTCACATATTTTTGGATTGTATTTATTGTGCTTAGCCTCAGCTCTCTACTGTCTCATATCAAGCTGACAAAGATTATCATGTTGAGATCAAGTAAGATGGCATTTAGGGTCTTGACCTTTTCCTTAAAGACACTACAGCAGTGAAGAGGAAGTGCTCATTTAAAAATAATGTTGAACTCCTGTAGAGAGCAGAATCGAACAATATTATCTGGGCACAAATCAGACCATTCACTTGGCATTGAAACTCCAAGACCAAGGTCCTAAGCATAGGGAATGACTAGGATAGGACACAATTCTTACAGACGTTCCCCTAGATCTACACACAGGTACAGAATCTGTACCAGGGCATACCTCAACAATCTCACAGCCACTGAGCAATTCCTTCAAGAGTCGATCAGCATCCAGCCTACAACTCAATGGCATTATCTCTGGGGGATGGACTAGGTAGTTACACCTTCAGGAATATATATCCACAATTGAAAAAAGGGGGGACTTCATTAGAGTGTGGGGGTGGGGAATAATTAGGAAAGGTTGGAAGGAAAAAAGCAATGTGAAAATAATACAATTATATTTCATTTCAAAAAGTTATTTTAAAAAAACGCATGATCAGTCGAGCTGCAGTGATGCATGTCTTTAATCTCAGCACTCAAGAGTCAGAGGCAGGCAGATCTCTATGTTCGAGGCCAGCCTGGTCAACAGATCAAGTTCCAGGACAGCAGGGCTACACAGAGAAACCCTGTTTTTGTTTTGAAAAACAAAAAAACAACAAAAGAAGCATGATATCTAGGCCTCAGAAACTCAGGTCCTGGAAGCAACCTAGTCTAGTGCAGACTGCCTTTTCTTTTTCAAGACAGGGTTTCCCTGTGTAGCTTTGGAGCCTGTCCTAGCACTCAATCTGTAGTCCAAGTTGGCCTCGAACTCACAAAGAGTCGCCTGCCTCTGCCTCCCAAGTGCTGGGATTAAAAGGATGTGCCACTACCACCAGCAAAGTGTTGACTACGTTTAAAGCTCACATTGACCTAAGAAAGATGGGTTCCTATAGCAAGACTCACCTGCGGTGCATCCTCTGGTGGCCACGATGAGAAACAGCAGGAAGCTGAGTTGGGTCATGGTCATCTTGAGAAAGGAAAGATGAAAGTCAGTTCTACCCAGACCAGTCTCAGTTCCTATCTAGTCCTTCAACCACTCAAAGGCCCCTCTCCCTTTATTTAGTTCAGCACCTTTTAGTCCTAACAGTGCCCCTTCCCCAAAGAGCAACCACCTTCCCTCTGTCCCTGGTGGGAGCTGTGCCTCACTGTGAGGACACAGGGCTTTCTCCACTGAGGCACCTGCCTGTATGTGGGAGGTTCTGGTCCTTTTATAGGGAAAGCCCAGTGGGGCATAAGCTTACACCTGGCAGGATGCCCAGTGTAGATATAGCATCTGCGTGATGTAAGATAACTCTGAGATTAGCAGGCTCTAAACAGTAAATATTAAGTGGGGTTTATTAGTAGCATTCTCAGATTCCAAAAAGTGATGTTGAGTTTGGTTTTCAGTATTTTGTGTCTTTCCTGTAAATAATAACTTTCTTTAAAAAAAAAAAACCTAACCCTAACACCTACCGTAATCATCATTCGCAAGAAAGGAAAATTTTTGACAGTGGTAACAGTGGTGACAATTTTTGACACAAGGTCTCATTTTACCCACTCTGGCTCAAGTTCACAGATAGCTGAAAATGACCTTGGACTCAGGATCCTCCTGCCTCTACCTGCCAAGGGCTTGAATTTTAGGTACATGCCATCAGTCCTGGGTTAAAAAAAGGGGAGGGGATGTAAACAACAGCATCATAAAAGAATAATTTCTGAGTAAATATGAACATTTTGCTTGAATAAACTTATTAACTACTTTGTCCTTAATTTTCTCATATCTGCCACAAACTAGTTAAATTTTACCGTTGCAATGGTGCTTCTCGGGGACCTGTCTCACTAGGCGGCCTAAACACTGTGGACCTACGTTCCTACAGTTCTGGAGAATTGGAATCCGAGAAGAATGTGACATCAGGACTCCCCGCCAAGGCTTCTGTGCCTGGCTTGTAGAAAGCTGCCTCTCACTGTGTTGTCTCAGTCTCTCCTCTGTGTGTGTGTGTGTCCTTGATGTCTCCTCTCCTACTCACATTTCCTCTTTCATAAGACATACCAGCCAAGATCCAGCAAGAGAGATTAGCATGTAAAAACACTTACCCCCAAGTTTGACAGCCGAAGTTCAATCCCCGTCATCTTTATGTTAGAAACAGAGAATTGATTCACACAACTTGTCCTCAGACTTCCACAGATGTGCCATGGTACATGAATACTCACATATATACTCATACACACAGAGAGAAAATAAGTATACAAAGCATAACTGTAATATACATATATGAAAAGTTTCTTGGGCTGGAGAGATGGCTCAGCGGTTAAGAGCACTGGCTGTTCTTCCAGAGGTCCTGAGTTCAATTCCCAGCAACCACATGGTGGCTCACAACCATCTGTAATGAGATCTGGTGCCCTCTTCTGGCCTGTCTGCATATATAATAATAAAAAAAAAGTTTCTTTACACACACACACAGACCATGGACACTGGATCAATACTCACCTTAGTTACCTTGTCTTCACTTACCTGATTAAAAACCCTGTATCTAAATAGAATTACATTCTGAGACTGTAGGCTGGGGTTTCCACATAAAATTGAGAGTCATAATTCACCCCAACACATGTCCATTCCTGAACTGACTTCTGGCCAAGGGATGTGAAATTGCCCCACTTGCCATGAGCTAATAATCGTCTGGGCATGGGTCAGTGCTTGTGAGTTTTGTGACAAAGCCTCTGGCCTCTGTTTTGAACATTCCTTCGCCCTCTTCTATCTCTAGCATTGGTTCACTCAAATTCTTCTGCACACTGGTGCCAACAGGAATCCTTATGTATATAAGCCATTATCTAGGAATCACAGTCCACACCTGTAATCCCAGCATTTTCCAGAGAGGTAGGACAATCTGGATTTCAAGGTTATCCTTGTCTACACAGTGAATTCAAAGCCAGCCTGAGCTACATGAGACCCTGCCTTAAACACAAAATTATTACTGTAATCCCATTAAAAGTACTCCTGTCACCCAGCAGCTAAAAAAACAAATTCAAAGCCCATGTCTTAGAGATTGTATCACTACCTGTTGCAACAAACCGCTCCACAAGTTGGTAATTTAAAACAGGAATCATTTCTTTTGTCTGGCAGGATATAATTTGAGCAGGACTTAGAGGGCATCGCTGGCTTCTGTTGTGTTTAACATCTGCTGGATCATTCCCATGCTTTCCCTCACCTTTACTGTCTGGACTGGATTTTAGGGTTGAATTCTGACACAACTGAAAGCAAAGCAAGCCAATCACTGGTGGTCTCTGGGCTGTATGATTGCATGGCAGCCGCTCTCTCCAGTCTTCCCCATGCTCTCTATGGAGCTCATGCGTCTTTTAGAACAGCTCCCTGGTAGGAGAATTTCCCATGCAACAGCAGAACAGGATCAGAGGTACTAATAGTGTAACTGAGGAGTCAGTGAGTGTGTTATGTCTACTGTTGCTGTCGATGAGCTGGAAGGCGGGAATGAGAGCAAGGTCAGGGGGGAGAAATTTCTCCGGCTGGCCTTTCTGCCTATGCTACAGACTAAGTCCGACAGAGTTTGAGTCTCTGTTGTGTGGAGTGACAAGCTGGAAATTTGGGGCAGGTGAGAGCGTGATGACAAGACAATGAGAGAGCTAGTGCCTTGGATTTGATCCCAATCCTGAGAAGAAAAGGAAGGGAAAAGGATATAAATGAAAAAAAGGAAGCTTGCCATTGCAGGACAACTCCGAGTGGACTTCAGTTTATCATCAATGGTCCCTCCAGTTCAAAGTGTGCTGGGCGGTGGGGAGATATTTGGAAGTAAGTGTGTGCCCGAGGGTGGACCTTCTGAAGAAAACCCCTCCACCCACACCACCTCAATCCATCCCAGGCAACTTGTTTACACCCTCTATTTTTCAACAGATACATGTACATTTATAGAGAGTGGGTACAGACAAATACAGAGATTAATGAATTACAGAAAAGCAAATACCTCTGCATGAACAGCCGGATCAAGAAATAAAATCTTATCTGCACCTCAGAAACATCAGATACATTCCTTCCCCATTACAAGGCCCTCCTCCCTCTGAAGCAAACACCAGGCCAGTAGAGATCGGTTCCTGGTCCCCATACTCCACTGCCTTTGTGGCTGTGCGTTTGTAGTTCCACGTGGGTGCTTTGGTTCGGTTTATTTGCTTTTTCATTTGAGACAACGTCTCACTATGTAGCCCCGGCTGGCCTGAAATTCACAGAGCTCCATCTGTGTCTGCCTCCATGTGCTGTGATTAAAGGTGAGCGCTGTCACACCTGGTCCCGCATGTAAACAGTTTAGATATGCTTAAATGAGCACACACAACACACTCAAGCCCTCAGTATTTGAGTTACATTTTAGCTTGTCATGTCAGGAAGAATGGTCCTGATGCCCTCTGGCTGCTGAGAACACCCCTGCCTCTATACCCTGCAACTCCAGCTAGAGACACCGCAGAGTTCTGAGCGCTGATGGACATCTGCCCTCAACTCCTTCACTGCTGCTGAGGAAACAATTAAAACGTGTTTGCTGGTGTTTCTCCTGTGGTGATACATTGTTTATGATTTACTGCAGATCAAAACAACAAAGCAGCCATATTAGTTAGCTATAGAAGCTAAGTGGTGTCAGTACACACTTTTAATCCCACCACCTGGGAGGTAAAGGTGGATGGATCTCTGCTAGTTCAAGGCCACACTAAGCTACACGAAATTGATCCCGTCCTAAAGAGAAACAGATCACACAAAGATGATCTCAGCACTTGGGATCACCCACCTTTAATCCCAGCACTAGGAAGGTATAAAAGGCAAAGGGTCTCATGTGGAGAGTTAGTCTCTAGCCACGTTGAGGAAAGCATAGCAGTCTGAGTGAATCTGAGGAGCAGTGATGTCGGGAGCAGTTTGAGGATCACCCCTTTGGTCTGTCTCTGAGTCTTTGTTTGTTTGTTTGTTTGTGCTACATTCTTCTAGCAGAGAAGGACGCTGAGCTCCGTGGAGATCTAAGATAGACAGGCAACAACTTTGGAAGGAGGTGTCCCCTCGGAAGTGAGCAAGATTGCTGAATTGTTTAACTAATTCATCCTCAAGTGATGCTGGTCCCCAGATGGGGTGTGTCCAATCACTGACCAACACACACATCCCCTGGTGTCCATCCCTCCTGCTGCAGCACCATCCCACCACCCTCTGAGTATCACTGCTGCTGGCCCTTCCCCCCACCACCCTCTGAGCATCACTGCTGCTCGCCCTGCCCCCCCACCACCCTCTGAGCATCACTGCTGCTCACCCTTCCCCCCACCACCCTCTGAGCATCACTGCTGCTCACCCTTCCCCCCACCACCCTCTGAGCATCACTGCTGCTCGCCCTGCCCCTCCACCACCCTCTGAGCATCACTGCTGCTCGCCCTGCCCCTCCACCACCCTCTGAGTATCACTGCTGCTCGCCCTTCCCCCCTCCTGGGTGCTGCTTCTCTCCTTGAGCATAGGGTTATTTCAGTACAATAGCACGGTCATTGTATTGTTTACATGGCTCCTTTGGCAATTCCTAGGAAATGTTTATGAAACCGTACTTGTTAAGCCAGTATTGTAAAATTTCACAGCTCCATAGACTAACAAAAGAGGACAGCATCTGAGTCTAAGACCAGTGTTCAAATAAAACGTCTACTTCCTGTAACACTGGACTTAGCACTTTACTGTCTCTAATGATGGTTCGTGTTCATTCAGTGGCATATCACAGTCTGTAGTTCATCCTGCATAGTACAGAAAGCAATGGTGCAGTGCGTCGATGAAGCCTTAGATTTGGTGACTGATGATTCTGACATCAACAGAGAGTTGCTATAACGAAGAAGAAAAAACAAGTCTGAAGACTAGAGATCAAATCTAGGGTCTGGTACTAATTATATACAACTGATTTTGATATTGACTTTACATCCAGAAAAAAAATATTCATTCTGATCATTGACTGGCAGATTTTAGGTTTTTTTTTAAGACTTACTTTATTAGTTTTAAATTCTTCCTCATATCCCTCCACCAGCCCATAAAATATGCAGATGACCTAAGTTTACCAACTGGATGTTGTAGCCCAGAATTTTGACCCTTGTTGTACAGAGGCAAAGTATGTCCAGTACAGATTCATGTAGTGAGTGCTGGGTCCCTAGATGGTGACACTATTTGGGGTGGTTCTGGAAAGTTTGGGAAGTGGGGTCTGGGTAAAGA